CCGACCCGTTAACCCAAATTGACACCCCTATAATTTGATACATTTTTTAGAGCTGAGTCAATTAAAACCCACATATCAGGTTGCTCGATTTATTTTCTGAACTATATAAAATTATTTTAAAATAATCTCATATATTATAATTATAATATAAAATTGATCTCAATTTAAATTTTATTTGAGTTAATTTTTTATTATTTTTTTAACTATTTTCTAATCAAAATTTTCTTGATCTATAAATTTTTATACTAGAAAATTATTTTATAAAATAATAAGAAAATTGTCCCAAACGAAACTTTAGATTTCATTTGGGATAACTTTATTATTATTTGCTAAATCAAAATTTTAGTACAAAATTTTTTTAAACTATAAATTTTATATTAAAAAGCTGTTTTAGAAAACATCAAAAAAATCGTCTCAAATGAAGTTGTTGTCTCAAAGGGATTCTTTTGAATTAATTTTGTATAATCAATGAACTAAGATTTCGTTTGGGATGGCTTTCCTTCTTAATTTTTTTTTTTAGCATAAAAAATTTAATTTTAAAAAAGCAGTAATAAAGTCATCCCAAATAAAGACAATACTATATTATTGGATTAAAATGATCATATATAATTCATAATGAAGAGACTATTTTAAAATTTAACCTGTTTTGAGATAATAGAATAGGCATTAGTGTAAATATTACCATCTCTAATGAAAGACTGCCTCTAATGCTGCTTTTTGCAAGTGAATGAAGAGATACATCTGTTGGTTAAATTTTCTTAGTGACGGTTTGATTGGTATACAATATTACAAAGAATATTCATATATTATAGAATAATTACAATAATAAAATGACAATAATAATCTAATAGATCCAAAGTTGGTATAAAATGAACAAGGTGGAGGACATTAATGAATGTGAAATTAATAAAGAAAATTTTGACAGAGATTGAATTTTTCCCATACGATAATAATAATTTCTATTTGTATATACATGCATTTGAGGATTCGTTCTAGATAGTTTTCTTACTGTTTTTAAAATAACTTTTTAGTATAATAAAAATTTTTATACTAAAATTTTGATTTAAATAGCAATAAGAAAGCTATCCCAAACCAAGCTCGAGACTACAGTTTCATTTGGGACGGCTTTCTTACTGCTTCTTAAAGAAATTTTCTAGAAAAAAAAATTATTTTTTTAACTAGAAAGCTACTTTAAAAAGCAATAAAAAAGCCATCCCAAATGAAGCCTACGACTAGAAAGTTCGGGTAAAATAAAACCAGCCAGTGGTACAGTGGTAACCTAGTGTAAAACTTGAGGGGGAGGGGGAGACTTGCCTATTATAGATTATTTGAAAACATGGATATGACCAACCTGCAAATACTGTAGTAAATAGAGTCTTCATTTACTTATTCCATCACAGCAATTCACTCTGAATGTTTGTAGTTCTGTTCTCCAGTTACAGCTAATCGCTTATTGAAACAGAGACTTCCAGCTATACATCAAAGCACAAGTAGCATCAAAACAACTGAAACAATCTGCAAATATCATCTAAATAAACTAACGACACTTAACACTAATTTACAACATCATAACAATTGACTCGCCTTCTTGTTTACAGGTTCCTAACCTAATATTACCTTCAACAACTCCACCTCCAGAATCATATCATACACTGCACAGCAATCTGCAGCAGTTCAAGCATGCCTGATACTTTGCTTTGCATGGGAAGAATTGAATTTCTATTTTACAATATTTACTTTTTTCTTTCTTTCCCATTTGAAGGTGTATGTAATTGCCACCTTTGTAGTATTATTTTGTTCATTACTAAGCTGGCTCGCGAGGCCGAGCTTCCCACAGCGAGCTCAATGCACGGAGCCGTTGGAAATAATCGCCCAACGCAAGCAATCCACGAGCCGCCTGTCGAATTGTCAAAATCTTGTACATTTGCTGCATTGTCTGTTGTCGCAGATGATCAGCCTGTTGTGTGGTAGCAGTACACAAGGGGTTAGTGGCATTCTAGATTTGTCAGCAGAACAGAAGAAAAAGACCCACTGGATTTAGCATTTTAATTCTCTAGATTACTTGGGTGTTCTTTTAATGCAGTCAATTATCTGCTTTGCTACAAGTGATCATGTATTTTGGAAATACTAAATGCCTTTTATTGGCCCAGAGAATTATAATTTTGATTTTATCAAGGTAGCATTATAATTCGTACTTGCTTGAGTTGTGTTATTTTGTTTATTTAAACCCTTCGCATAAAATTAAGTTTTGGTTTTTATTAAAATTTTGAAGAATTTTTTTAAATCGCCAATTCACAACCCCCCTCCCCCATCTTGGTGTGTCATATTCACTATTAGAGCACAACTGTGCACTTACACATGCCAAATTTGAGGAGACAACCTATAAAAAGAAAGAAAATAAAGGATATGAAGGTAGGGGAAGGGAGCTCTGTCAGGTGGCTTCTAATTTGAATTCTAATAATAATATTCCCGCCTATTTCACCATTGCTTTAAACAATTGACCCAAAATATCTAAAATGTGCACATTTCTTAATGACTTGATTACCCAATGTCATAACTCCACCACAAGATCTATTACTATTAAAATTATACTCAATGTATTCTATTTCAGATCTACTCAAACAAAAATCTTTACATTCTAAGGTTGACCTCCATAATTCAAGCTTTCTTTTAACTCCATCTCTAGTCTTATCAACAAGAAGAATATCATCAGCAAAAAGCTTACACTAGGGTACTTCCTTTTGCAAATGTATGGTAAGAACGTCCATGATTGAGCAAAAAGATATGGGCTTAAAGTTTGATCGTTGATGTAATCCAATTGAAATAAGAAAATAATTAGTCAAACCACCTTGTGCTTGAACACAAGTAACAGGTCTTGCATACATATCCTTAATGACTTGAATATAAATATTCTTAACTTTTTCTTTTCTAGAACTCTCTAGAACACTTCTCTTAGAGCTTTATCATATACTTTCTCTAAATAGTAAATGTCATATGTAGATCCTCCTTACTCTCACTATACTTGTCTATCAAATCCGTCAATAAATGTATAAGCTTCCATAGTAGTACCCGACATTAATACAAAATTGATCTTTGAGAAACCTTAGTATCATTTTGTAACATATGCTCAATTACTCTCTCCCATAATTTTGATGTATGACACATCAACTTAATTCATATATAATTCACACACTCATGTGCATCATCTTTATTAAAAATAAGAACAAACACACTCCTCCGCTATTTTGACATCTTTTTAGTCTTCAAAATAATATTAAAAAGTTTGGTAAGCCAAATTTCATGATCTCCTAAGCAATTCCACACCTCTATTGGAATATCATCAAATCTCATTGTCTTTTCACACTTCATTTTCTTTAAAGTCTCTCCAACATTAATTTTTTTCCCTAGGCTGCCATAAAAAATTCCCTTTTTTGTATAACTTCAAATTTAAGTTCCCCTCAAATATTTTCATAATTTCTTGGAAAGCTGGAATGCCAATGCTGAAGACCTAGATTTCATTAACATCATCAAATTCAAAACTAGGTGGGAAAACCTAAATACTAACCATTGCATTTTCAAATAAAGGCAATGCAATAGAGAAACAACAGCAAAGATCATCCACAAAAACGGGAATTTAAACCTGGTTCACAAAGCCTGCTAGGGCTTCCAACTGACCCATCGCATTTGCCATACGCCCCATATAATTCTCCACACCTGATGAGCCCAAGGGTTCTGTTGTCAGAACCTCAGAAAGCGTTTGTTGAAGTTTATCCAATCCTTGTGAAAGAGCATCTTCAGCTTGCTGAGATGATTGTTGCAGGTTACATACAGCAACAACTTGCTGCTCCGTTAAAGGTTCAAGCTGAGGAGTAAGAACCTACATATAAATACAGCATTGAGAGAAAAAAAGTTAATTCATTATTTATTAAAAATATTTACTATACAAATTTCATTTCCTAAACCATAGGCAATGGAAATAATGCCGGAAAATGAATAGAAAGCATTATAAGGAAATTGACACCACCGTCAGAAATAATGAAATCTTAGATTACATATACTCTTTTATGTTCTAGTAATCTATAACCCCACTCACAAACAAAAAAACAAAAAATCTCTTCTCCACCTTCTCTATACACATGTAACAAACGTAAAAGGTAAAAGATGAAGGTGTCAGCTATGTATAAAATCATACTCTTTTTCTTTTTACCATTTTCTGTCTTGGTATTTTTACTTATATCCTAGCCCCAGCCACCATTTACTTCATAAGATCAACCAAAATAACGAATGAGAACTAACACTGAGGAGCTGCAGAGACATTTTTCAAGATAGAAATTACACTTACCCTAACTATTTTCAGATCAACACTTATTAACAGGATGCTTCTTAAGAAAAATTAATAGAAAATACAATAAGAACGGAGGTAGGAGAAGCTAAAAACCAGAAAGCGATTAAAAACTGACGATGCGGTGAACTTACTGATTAAGTACGAAGATAAAACAGTAAATATTTAAGAACATAAAAAAGACCTCGCGTATGATTTCATAAGCAAAAGATCTGCAAACTTAGGCTTCGTTTGGGATGGCTTTCATACTGCTTCCTAAAACAGTTTTTACAAAAGTTAAAATTTTTGTACTTGAAAGCTGCTTTAAGAAGCAGTAAAAAGCCGTACCAAATGAAACCTTAACCAGAGGCATTGTATATACAGTTTAGGCGTTGTTTGGAACAGCTTTCTTAATGCTACTTAAAGCAATTTTTTAGTTAAAAAATTAAAGCAAGAAAGCCGTCCCAAACGAAATCTTAGAGTAAGCATTGTCTAGCAGTATAATAGATCACCTTTAAAAGTTCTGAAGGACGAAATCCTCCAATCCACAGAAAAAAACGCTCTGATGCTGTCCTCCACAAGCCAGACATGAGATAGAAGACATCAGATTTTGCTGCAATTGCTTTTATGCGAAAGAGATCAAAATAATGGTTCATTCCAGTGTCTACAAGCATCTGAAGTTCTATTTCAGATACATGTGTTTGTAGAGCAGCCCTAAGCTCACATATCTGCCTATTTTGTTCTTCAACCCAATGTCCATATTCCATCTCAAAAGCAGTCACTCCTTCAAACAGGAAAACAGGAAATAAAATTAGAAGAATACCTTTACTTTCTATTAATAAATCCAAAACACGTAAAATTTGAAGACAGCATCTAGTTTTGTAAAAAGAAGCGCTAAGCTTCTTCAAGACAAGCCAGTTTCTTCCCCAAATAATGTACTAGTGTTATTAGGGCATTTTAAAAACTACTTATTTCTTTAAATATTAACTCACAGTAGTTGTACCTACAATTCCTATATATCAAATTGAGAGCTTATGCGCCAGTAAACATGTCCATGCAAATATGCATCCATCCTACGTTTACTTGTAACAAGAAAACAGAAATCCCATTGTATTTCTCGGGATATCTTATATTACACAGAAGCCCTGGTGGGAAATGATAACCACAGCATACAGAACATTAGTAAAATAAATATATGGTGATCCAGTTTTTGAACAAAAAAGGGGGGATACAGTGTATGCTTGATGTAAAAGGTTTAGGGTTAGGGTCTCCTAATAATACGGTACAAGCCTTTAAAGAGGCTTTAAAGAGACCAAATCTATAAAAGCCCAGGTAGTCATAGACCAATCATGAAAAGTCAAACCAATCATAAAAGATTTGAATCGGACCTCTTCTCAAAAGCTTTATAGGCCAATTTATATTTATGGCTGAATTTGTTTTGATTTTTTTAATTTGAATTATTTTTATTAGTTTTTTTATATTCTGAGAAAAAATACAAAATAGTCCCCCTAATTATTAGTAATTACTCAATCTAGTCCAAAAGTTTTACACTATCCCAATTTAGTCCCCTCAACTATTCAAAATAGATCTAAAAAAACCATCAAATTTAACAGAATATTCTACAAATCTCCCGCTTTTCATAATGTGAGGGACATTTTAATAAAAATATTTAAAATTTGTATTTTTTATAATTTCGCAGCTCATCTCGTTGAGTGTGAGAACGAACATCAAAGGATTGCAGAGTTCTAACTAAGAGCGGTGAATCATTGAAGCAGCATGCACCAAAAATTGAAGAGCAATGAGATGATCTTCAACAAGAAACATACAAACGGTTACAGTTTGCAACTGTGCGTGAGCGGTAAATCAGTGCCTTGAAGGGGTTGTGAGCAGGCTTTCTACATGTAGGCGGCAAAACACCATCTCCGATGAAGATGAGGGCGCAAGCCAATTTTGCAGTGTAGTAAGATCTTACATTCAGATTTTGCTTAACAGCCAATATTCTTTTAATAATTAATCTTAATATTTAGTAGGTTAATTTTTATTTTTTTATAATTATTATAATTTATTAAATGACAAAATAAAGCAAAATAAGCAATGTAATCTCACAATATACTTGCACTACCTAAAATACTCACATATTTAACTTTGATGTTAACTTTAACTGTTATATTTGGTCATGAGGTCAAATGGTATCAATTTTCAATAGTCAAATGACTAAATTGGGACAGTGCAAAACTCTAGGATTAAATTAGACACTTGTTAATAGTTGGCGGATTATTTAGGTGTTTTTCTCTTTATATTATGTTAGATAAGATATGTTTAAATCTGAATTTTGCTTACTTCAGATAGGATTAAATTTATATTTAATTATTCTATCTATATCCTTGTAACCCCCTTTTTTGTAAATAAGAATACATGATGTGTAATTGGATAAGTATTGCTTGTTTGATGAATAAAATTATTTTGTGAGGCCAATCGAGTACTCCAAGGATCAAGTTATGCACGCGGAGCACTGCAACTTATGCGTTCAGAGTTTCTCTGTCCCCCTCCATAATTTTTGGTATCAAAACTTCTTTACAAAGCTATTGTCCTAAATCCCCATCGTCAGCTTTATGCCACATGCTACCCACTAACTCTAGTCCAATGATTTTTGCATCAGCACTTCACCTAGAGGAAAACCATCTTGCATCCAATGCTATCATCTCGGAGCACGCCAAATTTCGTGACCCATAACTTGTGTGCAACAATCATCACAAGCAACCTCAAAGCTTGCACAACGCATGTAACCAATTAGTACTCGCCCTCACACATCCATTCTGCAGCTCACACTCACGCACCCAATAAGTAATTGATTATCTTAATCCGTATGAGTAGCTAATATCAATATGTGAGATGACCTAAGATGATTAAGATCATAGCAGCAACTGCATATGAAAGTTTTAAATTTTAAATTGATTTAATTAAATTAATTTTTAGAAAGAATAAAATGTGCTTTCATAATATAATAAACAAAATCAATATTGAAAAAGACTCATTGATGTATAATTAAGGCAACTTGTTCACGAAAATACATAAAAATATATGATAAGTAAGAAATTTGATTTTGTAAAAATTTCAAGAAGAAGATGAATATTCCTAAATAACCCTCATTTTGAATACCATCCATCAACTTTAACCATGTTATTTTTTAAAGCAGGGCTATTTTGGCTTTTTTTTTAGTATGGGGATTAATTCGAAGCTTTTATATAGTATGGGACAAAAATGACCACTCACAAATAGTGGGCGCCATTTTTGACCTTTTCTCATTACCAAATAAAATTGTTCATACCTCAATGACATATTTAGGTTAGGAATCTACCATGATAAACAAGTTGCACACCTTCGAAAGCTCTACTCCAAACAAAAGATATAAATTTCATTCAATATATATCTAGTTGACAACAATGATGATCAAGATAAGGACAACAACAATGACCATGATAATAGGGAAGAAAATAAAAATAATGACATCATGAGATAATAATAAAGATATTAGAGATGATGGCTGGATCTTCATGACAACAATGTGATGCGGACATCCGACATCGGTACGAAGATTTGGCGCATCTATCACAGGAGGCGTCGTAAATCGACGGCTATAATTTAAATCGTCAATTATGAGTTATTTTTCTGAATTTTAGTTCTTATTTGATGTATTTCCTATTTTACCCCTAGGTTGGTTTATGTGAGTGTTGTGGCCTAAGGGGCAATTTTGTATTTTAAGTTTTCTTATGTTGTGGCCTATATATAGGGCCTTAAGCTATTGTAATGGGATGGATTATTGATATTAAAAATTTGTGTTCAACCCTTGTGTTCTTGTGAAGAGGACGATAGTGAGATTCCTATGGGAAGGAATCGGAGTTTTCACCAACCGCAGGATGGGTCTGGGCTCGTGATTTAAAGTCCCTTGGAGAAGGGCAAAGCATCATCCGTCAGTCTTCAGAAGAGTCCAAGGCTCGCGGTTTTTATTTTTTTTTCTTTTGTTTTTGTTTTGTTCCTTCTTATTACTCCTAGTAGTCATTTTTTTCCTCCTCCCCTCTCAATCCCTCGGCCAAATCTCCATACCAAGCTCCACAAATTTTCCCCATAACCACCGGCCACCTCACCAGAAAATTCTCAATCATCCCGCCAGCCCTCCCTCTAGCCGCCGGCCTCCCCTTCATCCACCACCCCTCCTCTCCGTTAATCGCCGGCTCCTTTCCCGCCACCTCACATATTTTCAAATTTGAACTTTTAAAATTTGATGAGTTGAAAGTTTCCAAATTTGCCCGGTGACAAATTAGGAAAGTTCCAATGAGGTTTCAATTTTCAAATTTGAATTGAAACGGATTTGAAATTTTTCGTCATTAATTAGCTTGAGTGGATTAGGAAACATTTTACACTCTCCCCAAACCCCCTTCCCCCTCACCATGCCGCCGGCCCCTTGGTGGTCCCCACTCCTTTAATGCTTCATTAAGGGAGTTGATTGCATGCTATTTGAATTTCAAATTCAAAATTGAGTTAAATGCCCCTCAATTTCCTCCCTTTAATTAAGGAATTAATCGCAGCTTTAAATCTGAAATTTAATTTCAGATTTAAGGATTAATTCACTTAGGTAATTGGGTCCCACTTATTTGAAATCAAACCCCTCTCCCTCCCTCTCTCCTAGGCCGGCCCCCTCTTCCTCTTTCCTTTCCCTAATTAAGAGCCAATTAATGATCCTAATTAATTCCCTCATTCACTCAAAATTTTCCCTCCACAAATTCCTCCCTAAACCATCCTCCCGTCCTCCATCCAACGTGAAGTCTTCTACCTCCCAATCCTGGAATTCTGCTTGCTGTCCACTTATTCCATAAAGAATATCTTGCTGTCCAGCACTTTGGAAGACCACGAATGGCTGTCCCGGAGTTTCTATGTGCCGCCTAAAGCTTTTCTGAGCAATATAGGTTGCTGTCCTTTGCATCCCGGACAGATTCTACCTGCTGTCCTGAAGTTTCTACAAGACAATAATGTTGTCCCTGCTGTCAAAGCTGCTGTTTAGACCTCACTACCTGCTCTTCAAGACCCTTAGGACTGAAAACCTCCTACCCGTTCTACATCACAATGATTAGAACTATGATGAAAATGATGGAGATGATGTGGATAAAAATTTCCAGGAAGAGGACCATAATGTACCAATTGATAAAGCAAGCAAAACAACACTAAAGTAGTAAAATAGAAAGTGTTCCATTAACCATTCAAAATAAGAAGTATTACTTATAGAGTGAATACAAAGATAGAGAAGTACAACCCACAATCTAAACAAAGCAACATTTTCACAACCATTGAGGATTCCAAATTATTATTTAACCTTACATAGGATGATAAGGGATTCAATGACTCGTAAATATACCTGGATTAATTGTCCCAGAGAAACCAGCAAGAGTAGAATCTCCCGTATGCCCACCAACATACATACCCTACCAAATCCATAAAACCTTGTAGTAAGTGGATAATATCAGAAGATAAATCATTCATGAAAGTTGTTCCCAGACCTGTTGTTTAGTTGTCTCAAGCTCCTGTTCAACTTGAGCAAGTTTTATGCGACTGCTTTCTAGTTGTTGAACATAAGCCTACAAGTATAACAATAAATTTTATTATTTTTCTAGTGGCGATTAATGCCCTAACAATTTACAGTCATGATTCTAATTTAAGTGCCTTTGAAGCACCTTTTTTCGAAGGCGACTTTTCCGAGCTGCCTCTCGATTTTGTGCAAGGCGTCTTAAAACCTGAATACAATGCAATGTACTCAACAACCATAACTTTGTTGCAATAAACATCAAGATAATATGATGCAATTATGGGGATTCATGTACTAAGATTAAACATTCCAACTTAGAATTTTCTTTCATCTTTCTACTGACATTTATTGTGAAACACATTAAAGCAAAGTTTACTTGTGTAATAGAACATTCTTTCATGACTGAAAATTGAGTCATGCAGTAGTAAAATACATATAAACGACCATTTCTAGGATTAAATGCTCAGCATAGAAAAAAGCGTCAGCAATAAATAATATTCAAATCTTAATCCTAAATCACGCCAAATAAGTTCCAGTATTTATTCATTGTTTTTTTTTTCCTGGGAAAACCTAATTGAATTACAGATTCACCGCTCAATGCTATTTGGAATAGACTAACTAGCATAAGATATAAACCCATAATCATTATCTTCAATCACAAAGCATATGCTGATGCACAATGTAATGGATAAAGATATTTAATAAGGCATAAATTTTGTAAGCTGATCCTGTTACTGTCAATTTTGGTGCTTTCCAGGTCTTTAAAGTGGTTTTTCACACTATAGACACAATGAAGATTTGTTTTCACTGACTTATACAGTCATTTCTTTGAAGCTTCACTTACTAAATGCATCTTTGACTCTAATACACATATAACTATCACCATAAGCGTTATCACACAATGAGGCCAGCTATATAGCTTGCCGTCGGTATTAATTCCACTTAAAATACATATGTGATAACTATATGAATGCTATTATATAAAAACTTCTGTCTTTATTAACAACAGAATAGGTAAGGAACACTTCTCATGGCCATATAAATAACCCCAATACATGCATGCATGCAAGTTCATCCATGATCCATCTCCATCTAACCATAGGTAAATACATCCATTCATAAATCCAAACTATTTTATGGAGCCAAATTTTCTATTGATAAGATCTTTCCAAGCTATGAATGTATATCATTTTTAAATCTAAATCGTTGGCTAATCCATTTTTGTGGATAATGAAAATATTTTAGAGATCTTATATTAATATAAAGACTTTGAGGATCATATTAATGACTTTAAGATATCATAAAACTAATTTTATATCTCTTTGTTATAACTACAAATAGAGCAAGGGGGGCTCTTGGAATCTCAGTGTATTCAACTTTAAGCAAGATAAAACTAATGCACAAATGTGAAGAATGCCCTAAAAAAGGAGTTTTGTTGTGCTTCCAAGGGAAATTCCATATTGGGTGGATGTTCGAGAGGAACTAATCAACTCCAAAATGCAGTGTTGAAAGAAACCATGAGTTTGAAGTTGAGGTCAAGAGGAACTAAGTGAATGACAAGAGGATAAGTTTTTGAGGCCATGTTAGACAAAAAAATGTAGCAAAATATTAAAATTAATGTTGAATCGGTGAGAATTTGTCAAGTGTATATAACTAGGGAAAATAAGGAATATACTTGTGCCTAGCATTTTCCATGGCAAATTAATGAGTGGGCAAAACATAGTTCCATGGAGTCATGACAAGCTACAGGTTGCTACCAAATGCAATAAATAGACGTGCTATACCAAAAGGTGTCAAACTTTTGATACGTCGTAATGAAATGTATAGGGAAAATCGTGATAATGCTCTAAGGTTGATGAAAATGGTGATAGGAATCCGATCTCCACACAACACAAAAAAAAAACAATAACAAAGAGAAAACGGAACAAAAATCAGTGAGAAAGAATGAGATTATGGGCTATTTATTGATATCGGCACAACAAATTAAAATACAAGTTAATATACTATTCGAGAGGTAGATTGACTCTTCATAAACCCTAGGCACCGCTAGGAACAACTTCAAAGAAAATTACTCGAAAACACCAAATCACATAATGAAAAAAAAAACAACCTAATTAATCCTCAATAAAACCTTCATGATTCCCTCGCACACCTAAATTCAAATCAGCACTCTTTCTCTAAATTAACCTTCTTAATTCTCTCCTAAATTTAAATCTAAATCAGCACTCTTTCCTTACATAAATCTTCATAATTCCCTCTCAATTTTGATTTTCTCTGGTAAGTAATTAAAGGTAGAATTAATCCCTTTGGAGCCCCCCTATTTCATTGCCTGTCGCTCACATTAGTGAGGCCCATAGGACTCTTGCACTGGCCAGCAAGACCGGCTCCCCTTGCTGGGGTCAGGGGTTGATTGGTAAGACCAGTTCAATCGGTCAATCAAATGGTAATTAATATTCCAGGCAAAAATAATTGAAGATGACCTTGAGTTGTTAGGCATCCATGGAAAAGACATAAGAGAAAGTTCCTAAGAGCCAATTTTTTTATTAACCTTAGGTACCACTGGGAGAGACATGAGAGAAAATACTCGATAATTGCCAAAGAATATTCCCAAGAGAATAGATGATTTAAAAGCTTGAAACGAAATAACGTGTTATAGGCAAAGCGAAGATGACTCTTATGAACAGCAAGAATTTCATGAATAAAATCAATCATCGTATCTTTCTAAATCTTAGCTCGATGAATATTGTTAGAGATATTAAAGCTAGTGGGGTCTACAACCAAATGAATGATATTCATTTCACTCTTTCTTTCACAATTCTTTATGTTATTGGCAATGTTGTTTGCGTCATCCACTTTACAAAATTTGAGAACTTGTTTTTACTTTCTTAATTATACTAAAATTTGATTATCATTCTGTGAGCCTACATAAATGCTATTGGGTTTCCTTCCCCTCCTTTACCACTAGTCATTCTCATCATTTTAAGTTAATTCACTCAAACATTTAGGATTATAGCCTAGTTGGAATTCATTTAGGCTTCCATTATTGTGTACTACTCATTAATTATTCGCAAAAAGTTATATATGTTCACTTAAATGTTACTTTGAGGTTCTTCACATACTCCAAACTTTCTATCAAGAAATAAAGTTTTTTTTTCATAAAAAGTTCAACAACAACAACATCAACATGCCTTCATCCCACTACATGGGGTCGGCTACATGAATCTTTTTCCTCCATTTTCAATATAAATCTTTTTTCATAATTAAAAAAAAAACATTATATGTTGGTTATACATTCAATTTGAGAAAATAGCCAAAATAGCCCCATACTATTTATGAATGGTAAAAATTATCATAAACTATGCAAAAGCCCAAATTTAGTTCCTAAACTTTTTAAACATGAACAAGAATAACCCTTCCATTCAACTTAACATAAATTGGAGTTAATGGTATTAAAATGGAGGTTATTTTGAAATATATATTTCCTTCTTGAATTTTTTAGTAAATCTAATTTTCAACCCAACTTATTTCCTCGTGTGTAATAGCTAACTTCATGTACAACCCAAATGAATTAAGATTGTGCAAGTTCCAAGGGGGTTTACTTTTTGTAATAAATAAATTTGATTAGCATTTCTGCTATTTCAATTCCATTGTAATAAAATAGATTTGAGTTTTTTTTTTTTTTTTTTGGAGAATTATAAAATTTTAAATTTGGATATTGACTTTATAGAAATCAACTTTTTTTAGAGAGAATAAAATATGTACTTCAGTTGTTTAATTTATTTTGTAAATATAATAAATATAGTTAAAATTAAAAAAGAGCAACATGAGATGATAGTTAAGGTAATTTGTTACATATATAAGAATTATTCAAAATATATTTTAAAAAGAAAAATTATTGTTTTGCTTATTTTATCATTACAATAAAATATCATCAACTCTAATTCATCGCTCCTTGGGGGAAACTTTGTCAGCTCCTTTTCGTCGCTACTTGAGGAATCTTTATTCGATCTTTGTCATTATTGCTCAAGGAAATTTCATCACTATTCAGGGAATTTGCGCAATGGTCTCCTACGTGTAGTACCCAAGAAAGGAAGCTTAGTTGTTGCTTGTCCCACTCCCTTCTCTGACATCACGCAATAGACATGCTTTCGTAACATCCTTCTACTCGAGGAAAGCTTTGCCTGCTCCCATCTTATTTTGCGCTCGCTTGTCTGTTTCTACTAAGGTAAGCATAATAATAATAAAAAATAAATAAATATTGAAATACTCAAAGAGTTATGCATGCTTCATCATCTCCATCAACCCAATATATTTTCTAATAATTTTAACCTCCAATTTGGATGGTGGGACAAGTTTGGTCAATATTTAAAGACTCTTGGGATCAAATTGAGACTTTTACAAACTCTAAGATCATTTTCGTCCTTAATGAATAGTTGGAAAGTCATTTAGTCATTTTCCCCTTTAGAATTCCTGCAAACTCAAGACTAATTATCCTTATACCGCTGAACATAATGGTGATTTTAAATGCAAAAATTGGCATCATCTTGATGTTTCCAGAACATTGATATTCCACATGAATGTTCCACATAAATTTTGGGGATGCTACCTTAAGCAAAGTTTTCTCATCAATGGAATCCCTTCTCCATTATAAGAACATACATCAATCATCTTCATTCTTTATCACTCCAATATAAGAACATACATCAATCATCTTCATTCTTTATCACAATCAAGCTCCTTTCACCTTACTCCACGGGTCTTTGTTTCTACCTACTTTATTTGTGCATTCCACTCCTGAGACAAACTCTCTCCCTATGCTTTTTTATGCATACCCCTTGGCCAATTATCGAAGGTATAATCTAGTTACTAGATGCTTGTATACTTCCATCAATGTAACATTTCATAAAACTACCCCTTTTTTATTTATTTAGCTCTTGGACTCTCCAAGCCACCTATTCCTCTTCCCCCAAAAACTCATTTCCTACCTCTACACCTTTAAAGATATATTCTCATATTACTCATCCTCCACCCATAATCGTACCTCCCAATACATTATCATATTCAACTGAGCATCAGCCAACTATTGAGACATTTAACCTATAAATTATTGTTGTTTTGAGAGATAAAAAGCCACATACCACTTAACGTATTCACTCATATGTCATTTGATCAATTATCCACTTTTTTTGAATTTTCACTCTGTCACTATCATTTGTATACATTCATAAAATGTATAGCATCATACTTTATGGAAACAAGCCATGTCTACTTAGTTGCCATGCATGGAATATAGTTGTCACCCCTACTAATATCAAATCCATTGTTGATCAGTGGGTGTTCATTGTAAAATTTTACACTATGAATGATTAATCGCTACAAGGTTTGATTGGTTACAAAAAAAAGTACACCCAAACTCATGAGATAAACTATTTTGATATATTCTTCCATATCACGCGCCAAACCTACATCATGATTCTTTTTGTATGATCATCAATCAAGGTTGGACTACACTAAAAATGGATGGTAGTGTTGTATTCCATTATGATGACATGCAAGATATCTAATGCAGAACATCATATGATTCAAGATAATCAAGTTAAAAGCCAAATTAAAAGCGTTAAGACTAAAACCCAAGAAAAAATCAAATAAAATACCCAATTACAAGAGCCCAATAAACAATTCATAATTTATAATATTTTAAATGTAATTTTTTTATTATTTTTATCTTTTATTTTGGCAAGGATGAAGTATTGAAAATTGGTGGTCAAAACTTCTCAATAATGGCCACTAACCTCCTCTCTTTTTTTCATTATTCCCTCCATTTTTTCCTCCAAAAAAAGAGGCCCAATAATCTTATAATGCCTATAAAATGGGCTAATATATATTTTAATTTTCAACTTTAGAATGAAATATTTTGGTGAAGAAATGTTCTTCATTTGTTTGATGCTTGCTAGATTTAATTGGTGATGAAAAATAGTTATCTTTATTACTTTTAAATTATTAATTACTCTTCAAATGCCAGTTTTAAAGTTTTCACACCTCTTCCTCCAATTCACAAGCATCCTCCAAGACTAATAAACCAGCGGCCAAAGCTTAAAATCATTCCAAACTCTTCCATATAATTTTGGTCAAAGTAGGGAACACCACGACCTAATCTTATTCCCTACATCTCAACATCCCCTCAAACTCCACTAAACTCTGCCCCATCAAAAACTCTGGATTATAAGTTCATGCCCTAAGCTAATCATCTAACATTATTTGTATACATTTATCCTACATAAAACCCACACCCTAAAGTGGTCTTCCAAATCAGCCCAAACTGAACCAGTCATGATATTTTTTTACTAATTTACCTCTTTAAACCCCTCACCATTTGACCATAAACTCCAAAATATTTTTGTAAACATTAAACTGAAGATACATAGTCTTTATTAGCCATTAACCTCAACAAAAGACTACCCTCCACCATCAATATTTATATGTACCAACATCTCATGCATGTTGCTTGGGTAGACAATATATATGTCTTCTCACATGAAGGTTATCTATGGCCTTAAATAAAGTCTACAAGCCTAGTTAGACAAACTATGTAACGTCCTAACTGAGAATAGTATTCATAACAACACTATTGATCACTATATCTTCATCAAGCATACTCCTAGATCCATCAAACTTCTTGTTTATGTTGTAGACATCTTACTCCATCACGGCATCTAAGGTGAAATACTATTTGCAAAAAAGCTTTGCCACCATATAGAATGACATAAGTACTTCCTTAGGATTGAGTTCACTTGGAATAAAAACATAATGCATCTTTCTTTTTCTTTTTTTTTTTTAAAAAGACTTCCTTGAAGAAACTGTCATCTTTGGGTAGTAAACCTATTGATGCCTATGAATGATCAAACTACAATTGATGGTGATAATAAGGTATCCCTCAATAATCCATATCAATATCGCAGGTTAGATAGTAAGCTCATTTATCTTACTATAGTATAATCAAACCTTGCATCTCATTCATTATTACAGCAGTTAGTTAACACATATAAAATCCAAAGAAGCATTGGAAGGTGTTCTTTAGATTCTTAGATATATAAAAAGGTCATCATGAAAAAGAATGTTATATATTAAATCTTATTATCTCAGCATTGAGGATGTATCTAACACAAATTGTGCTGGCTAGATTGAAAAAAAAAAAATAACCTTTGGATATTGCATGTTTATTCAAGGAAAATGGGTCGCGTAGAAAAGAAAAAGTAAATGGTTGCAACCAAATCTAACGCATAAGCAAAATATAAAGCTATGCCACACTCAGCATAAGTAATTATGAGGGCTTAAAACTCTTTTGAGGAGAGTTTGAGTACTATATTACTTAGCCTATGATTTATATGTCAATTGTGCCGTTATTTATATTGCTAGCGATCCTATTTTTCATGAACACACCAAATATATTTAAATGAATTGTCATTTCAAACGAGATGATCTACTTTCCAAGAAAATTGTCATGGCACATGTCTTCATTTGAAAATAAGTGTAAATATTTCACCAAGGCACTAGGACACCGATCCTTTTCTGGTTTATGTAACAAGCTGGAGCTCCTAGATCTATATAGTCCAGCTTGCAGGGAGATATGGCAGTAGGAGTTAAACAGACCCCTAATAATGGAAAGAGATTGTGTAAAAGATATTCCAAAATTTGAAGATACAATTCCACTTATTTATTTTCTTATTGTATTCTCTATTTTCTCCCTTATTCTCATCTATAGACCTCTTACAAGTCAATAGTATACACAATAATTTATGTTCCTCTCAATAGCTCTCAACATTCATAAATACCAAAATATATTGAAGTCACTGCCTTGATAATCATTTAATAGATGCCATCTAGATGTTATTAATCAAACATGATTTCTAGCAACGCAAGTCTTATTCACACTTTAAGAAATAAAGATAAGCTACTATGATTGCAATAGAGATAATACATCAAATAACAACTATAGATCACAAGAGTAACATATTCCACTTTTGAAAGGAAAAACAACAACAGTATAATTGATTCTAGCTTAAAGTCGTGACAGCTAAAATTGATCAGAAAGTTAAAATAACTTCATAAAGAATATTGAAACTTGTTTTTACAAACGTAAGAGATTAAATCTAGAAGACAGGTATTTGTTTAAGTTGAGTACAGTTTTGGTGTAGCTGCATAAGTAGTTATAAAAAACCAATTTTTCTTACCTTGTCTGAAGGTTTGTTTGCTTCCTGATTGAACACCCTGGTACCAACAGTATCTCGAGGAGTATCTAACTATTCAGAGTTTTCAAATGTTCAATGGGGCAAACAGAAAAACAAAAAAAGAGGTAAAAAAATTATTACTCTTACAATTACTGAACTTAAAATCTTCACATCTCACCCTATTTTTGTTTCTACCATCAGCTTCTACAATTGCGGATAGACATGTGTTCTGACTGCTATCGGCTTTAAAGGAGTCTCCCCACATGCCACTATGGTTTTTTGGTTCATATATTTCCATCCTTGCAGAACTAGCAAACTCAGTTGATGAGGAGTTTATGCTGATGGGGCTGGAAAAACAGAAAATGAAGATGACTGTGAACAATTGGGACGAAGAGAACATAAATCACAAATAAAAGACAACAATTCTAAAAATACATACAAACAAATACCAGCTATATGACATTAAAGTTATATTCATATTTTAATCAATAAAAGTATAATTGTTTATGATTATATACTTAATCAAAGATGAAAAAAAAAATACTATTTAAAATTACGGTTACCTTAACATCATGAGACTTCTATGTTCTAGATTGAATATGAGAAATCATAATTAGAAATCTTATGCAACACTCAAATAGAAAATGTCAATTTATATGGCCAACAACAACAACAAGCCTTTTTTCAACAACATGGGATCGGTATGTCAATTAATATAGCTGATCCCAATTATTGGTATTGGGATGAATGCGAAGGCATGTTAAGGAAATATCCTAGTAGTTACAAAGAAATGTCAAATTCTCTTTTAGAAAATTACATGAGACAGGACGGCTTTGTAAAAAGTGTTTATGTTTAATTGATAGCAAGCTTCTTGTCCATCAGTGGAGAATGACATGTTATTAATAGATCTAACATTATCTATAACCTCATTATAAATTTTCCTGAATTGATAATAATGGGATAGGTTTTTGAGAAATTTAAATAAAGATCATGGCGGATGCATAACCAATACTAATCTCCCGCACTCCAATAATCAATTTTAGACCGGTTGTGACATTTAAATAGTTTGTTTCCTTTCCTTTACAACGATGATTTTCTTATTTATGTCAAAAAGAGAATAATGGCGAGGTTGATGCAGCATAGTAGCAAGTGTTAGCTAAGAAGTTCTATGTAGGTAGTCCTCATGATGGTAAGAAATTGTTGACGTATCTCATTGAATCGAACATCAATTTCCCCCATAGTAAATAAGCACTGATATTTAAAGGCTCACCAACCAGATACTCGTAGTGAACAATACCACTCTCTTACTATAAGTTTCAGACTCCCCAACATTTCTGTTATTGTTGTCATAATTGTCTTCGTTATAGGTCATGAGTCCTTTTCTTCCAAAGTATAGTTGACTAAATTTTATCTTTTATGTATATATATACATACATACATGTTGGCATTGAGTTGTTAATCTACTGAAAAAGATTGAGCTTGCTATTTTTCATGTTCACTTCACCTACGAAACAAGCCTTATTCACCCAATCCAGCGATTCAACTCCACTTATTAGCTTAAGAACAAGCCAAAGTGCAGCCAATTAATAAGTCAACCACAAGTTGTATGTGAAAATCAAGTTCGATGAATAGCCTTAACTAATTTACTAAATATATGAACCAAATGAAGATTTAAGAATAATGCAATTATGATGAAAAAAACATGAGATGACTAAAATATAAATTCTTCAAAAAAATGATTGTGAAGATCATCAAAAATATAATTAGTTATTAATTGTACAACAAATATGGACACTAGAACAACAAAATGATTTATAAATGTGTCATATTAGTAGGAGTGGCAAAGAAGCATATATTAAAATTTTAGGCCCTATCACTCCCAAACATATCTTCACTCGGCCACAAAAAAAAATAAAGTAAGGCATTCCTAGATATCAAACAAATTTGGGTTCCTTATACTGAGCAATTAAAAAAATGTATATGTTTTATGTATGTCAACACTTCCCTACCCCACTCAAGTAGTGGGGTTGGATGGAACAATTGAAACAAGGTAAGTTGGAAGCCTTTGCATTGACTTCATTACTGGGATGAAAGCTTTAACCAAAAAAATGTCACAAATTTTCCAACTCAAGGCACTCAATTCACCAACACACGCACACAACCTATGAATCTTTTCAATTCAAGTTCAGTTAATGCTGAAATGGCCAGAAGTGGCATATAGTGAGAACGAAACTAATTGAATGAAAGAAAAGTCACTCAAAATAAAGAGTTTCTATGATTCACAGATTAATCCTCCAAGATCCTCGACTACATGAACATCGCTATATATTTCTCAGGTTACAATTGCAATATTATCTGAATTAGAATATTCCGTATTTTATTTCATCAAAACCCCAAAGCAAGTAGGCCCTTCCCCCCTTTGACGCCAAGTAAACTCAATCCAAGTAAACTCAATCAAAAGTTCAATCTACTAAAGCAAGGGGTCTCCAATACCGATCGATTGACAACAAGGAAACTCCATAAGCTTCAAAACCATTCCTAACCAACAGGAACAAATTTTACATGACTTAGAGCAGCACTGAAACCCACGCCCTTACCCATTAAGTTCTTAATTATGAACCCTTATAGCTATCGAGTAAAACCAAATCTTCCTAAAATATTAACAATTTGGCACATTACTAGAGAGTCTTCTAATCCCATAATGCCAAATAAAAACAAAAAAACTATGTAGCAAAACCATCTAGGCTAGATTGGCATAGAGAAATCTAATGTTTGGAAATATCTTGTCAAAATAGAAGCTTAGTTATCCTCTTCATTTTAAAATAAGGTCTAAAAAATAGCTATAATCAAGAGTTCATAAGTAGTATTCTGCTAATACCACAGGATAAATAATCTCAGGCACTCAAATTATTGTTCAACACCTACAGAAGAGAAAAGAGTGACAATCCACGTTGTTATGCCCCGAATTTAGATATATGCATAAATATAAACACATTCAATAACTTCAAAGGTTTACCAAATGACACCTTAATTGAAATCAAATATTCTCCTTTCTTATCATGTGATTCTCCATCAATTAAAAGCAAAAAAGCTTCAATATAGCACTTCAAAACTGACAACTTGCCCCTAAAAGGAATACAAGTTCTGAAAGCCATCTCCTCTCTCAAAATACTTTATTCCTGAAAAGCTTGCGAGTTGAAATTATGAAAGAGAGCTATTGAGTAGAAGCAACGGACATCTTAATTGAATAGCGTATCCATCGCCGTGGTAAATAAACGCACCTCCATCATCTTTTGAACAACCTCAACAACCCGACCAGGACCAGCACCTGACAAAAGATCATCCCTTCTCGTACCCCCAATCTTTATCCAGCACTTTCCTCTGGGATTAAGTGCTCTGAAAGCCGAATGTTTTCTAATTGTGACTAGAAGTGCGTACAGTTCTATTTGAAAAGTAAAATAAAATCGTAAAAGGAAAACATAATGTAAAGCAAAAAATCCTTTAGATTAGCGAAAAATTGTATTTTTTTTACTGATAAGATGTTTTAATCTTTTCATTTCCCTTTCTCTGGGAATATATTTCGATGAACTGGAATCTTTAATCTAAAATGCGCAGTGGATGGTTGATGACTCAGACCTCAGTTTCGCCATGCCGGACGCTGCGGGCCCTTTGCATCATGAGGCCAGACAATCGACGTCAGATTTACAGGTCACCAACCGGGGGTTCCAAAACCCTAAAATCCCAATTTGAAGCTGAACTTCAACTCACACTCTACTAGAGTTAGTCTTCCTCCCCCGTCGCTCCGCTGTTTTCCCGCTGCTCCGAGGAGACGACAGCAGTCGAGAGGAAACAAATTAATAAATAGCGCTTAAATGATTAGACTTCATATCCCACAAACAGGAATTATTTAGAGGCTATTTTATTTTATTAAAATAGAATTCGAGATAAATAATGCGATCTTTAAAAAAATGTGTTAAAAATATTTTTGAATTTTTTAGTTGGATATATATTATAAATATAATTTTTTTAATTAATTTATCACACATGAAAATATAAATGCATTTGAAATCATAAGTAAAATTTAGACGTACATTCAAAATAAAAATATAAATGATTTCAAAAGCCCTCATAAAATACCCCAACATTTATTTTATTCTCTGAATGCATTCAATCAAACAGCCATTTAAAACTATTTGATGATCATATTTAAGCAAAAGTAAATCTAATACATATATAAATAAATCTTTTATTTTTTTAACCTTCATTTTGGCCTAAAATTTATATTTTAAAAAAAGGAATGATTGTATGAGAATTTATTGTTAAATTTTTTTATTAGAATAGCCTTTTAAGTTTTAAAGCACTTATATATTTTTTGAGATAAATAAAAAACAAATTATTTATGTATTACAATCATCTCAAAACAAAATCAAGAACTTTATAGTCCATTTAAATTATTTTTTGGTAAGAACATCCTGGCATACTTTTTATCTTTATAAAATTCAAATGTTCGACAAATTTATGGGATTTTACAAACAAAAGCATATGAAAGGGAGAGAAATAGGAGTGTTGCCTTAATTCAATAGCGAGCTATTGTCACTTCCCAGCTTTCTTTGTGCCCACAGCTATGGGCATCCAATCATTGTTGCATGACTACAATTTTATGACTATCATCAATGAACTTTGATCATCAAACCACCATCGCCAAGTTATGATCCTCCGACTATTTACCCTCTTATTATCAATCTGTCATCATCACTTAACTACAATCCTCCAATTATCTTCGTCAAACAATGACCCTCCGACCAATATATCTAAATTGTTATCCTCCTACCACTTTGATCATATTAAAGTCATCATACCATGGTTGCTCTGCTAAACTTATACATGTTGTTATGCTAACAGTGTCAATACACAACATTGTTCATATGATTGATGCACACCATTGACACCAACACTAACACTCGTTAATTGCATCCCATGTCATGTGACCCTAGAATCTAATATATAAGAATTATTTATTTATCTTTTAATTTACACAACCAAAGATATATAATTTATGACAATTGTTGTCCACTGACTAAGGTCCTTCCTACCTCCGTCGCTAGACAACAGTCTTTCTGACCTATGTTGTCCTCCAACTATAGTATTTTCGGCCTCCATCACCATACTATAATCTTTCTGACCTTTGTCACTGACTACAATCCTTCCAACCTCAATCACAAGACAATAGTCTTTCTGACCATTGTCACCCGCCGACCACGATCATTTTGACCACCGTCATTAGACAACAATCTTTTTGACCTCTCTCACTCACCAACTACGGTCATTTTGACCTTCATCACTCAACCAAGGTCGTTCCGAACTCCATCGCCTAATTACGTTCCTTCTAACTACCTTCACCCGACTGAGGTATTTCCGACCACCGTGGTCAACTATGGTCATTATGACCACTATCGTCAAACAACAATTTTTCTGACCTCCATCGTCCACCGAGTATGATCTTTGCGACCTCTATCACCAGTCAACGATCTTTATGACCACCATCGCTCTCCAACTATGGCCTCTTAGACTATAATCTCTGAACTATGGTTTCTCTGACCGCCATCGACTAACTACGGTCTTTTCGACCTACATCGCTTGTCGACTATGGTCGTGCCGACCAAACAAACATGTAAACACTGATTCTTCTACCTCTCACAATGTAATGCACTCTATATAAATGTATATTGGATATATCAAGCCAACACCTTCCCCCTCAAGGAAAGGTCTCATTTGTAATCAACTGTAAATACTAGTGGATTCATTAAAACTGAGCCAAACTTTGTGGGTTTTCCACCTATCTAGTGGTTTCCACGTAAAAATTCGATTATCTCTTATGAATACTATGCCCCTACACTTTTTAATTGTATGCATGTTGGATCTTCTTATAAAGCTACGACGCTAAACTTTATATTTTTCTACCACTATGAATATTCCATGATGTAACAAAAGGATAATAATTAATCAAAATAATATAGTAGTTATTTTAATTTAATAAATTACTTAGATATTAAATAATTTAGTTTAATCATTTAATTGATATAATTAAATTTTTTAAAAATATTTTGGTATATTATTACACTTCAAAAGTTCACGATAAAACTAGTTGGTTCAAATATTTTTAAATAATTTGTCATAACGAATCAGTAGCGGAGACAAGTGGGGCCCAAAATTTTAGACAATTTTTATATTATGAATATTTATTTTCTATTAAAGTAGAAGCATAAAAAAGTAATTATTTTAATACTTTTATACTTTTTAAAATAATAAATTCATACAAAAACTTTCTTAAAGCTATTAATGTTGGTCTTATTCTGAATGAAAAAGTAGAGGGAGCATATACAACAACAACATCAAGCCCTTGTCATCTCACTACGTGGGGTTGGTTACATGAATCATTTTTCTCCATTACGTTATGTTAAAAGTCAAATTCTCATTTAAATCTAATAAAGAAATGTCATTTCTAATATTTTCTAACCAAGCCTTTTTAGGTCTACCTCTACCTTTCTTAACATAAGTCAAATCTAATATCTCTATTTTCCAAATCGGGTCATCGAAGAACCACTGTTTTATGTGACCAAACAATCCAATGCGACTCTTTCTAATCTTATATTCCACTGGAACAACTCTAACTTTTTCACATATATGCTTATTTCGTAACATATCTCTAAGGGTAAAGCCACTCATCCACCTGAGCATCCTCATCTCTGCAACACTTCACTTAGTATTATGCTTCTCTTTTAATGGCCAACATTTGACACCATAAAGCATTGCAGGTCTCACCACCATCTTATAGAATTTTCCCTTAAGTTTGAGATGAACTTTTCTATCGCACAACAAGCCGCATGCATTCCTCCATTTCAACCATCCAATTTGAATTCTACTTATAATATCCCCATCTATTTCACCGTCACTTTGAACAACAGATTCAAGATATCTAAAACGTGAAAAAGTTGGAGTAGCTCCAATTAGAGGGAGCATATAAAATTTTAATTTATACTCCCATTAGAAAAAAAAAATTTAGTAGCAGCTATGCTACTATAACTAACCCTGATTAGCTGAATATCCTAAGTGCACTGAACTCTGAACCTGTATAATTGCAAATTGTGCTGTTAAAACAAATTTTAAAAAATTGTGTAATATATTCTATAAATACAAATGAAGATTATTTTAATAATTTTATGCTTAAAAAATATACTTATATAGAGATTAAGATCAAAATAAACTCTTGATTAATGATCTCAGATTATTAAAAGTCATATTATAATTTCTTAACATTTTAAAAAGGAAACTAAATGATTTGTTTAATTAGCGGACCAATATGATTTTTTTATTAATAAACTATAAATATTTACTTTCATGACATTATAGCTACCAGATAAATATTTTATTTGATTTTTTTTTCCATTAGCAAACGGTTGGCTGGAGCTTTGAAATGGACGGCCTCAAAATAATGATATCGTATTGAATAAATTATGATATCTTAAAGTTAGTGGTAATTAATGCCTACTGACGCGTCCGCTATACTACTTTTTTTAATAATGACGATTAGCAGAGATACGTATCTTTTTTAACCAAAGGGCCTAATCTTTTTAATCGTCCGCTATATTGTCGGCATATGAAATGTTTTCTAATTAAGCCGTGTGGTGATGCCGTCGCCTAATTTTATTAGTTTATTAAACTTTATATTTGATCGATAAATAGTTCTATAAGTAATCTGATCGATTAATTAAGATATATATATATTAATTATCGCTGATAAATGAAAAGTTTTATGCCAAATTAGCATTCATTAAAGCTATGTTTGTGACATCTTTCTTATTGCTTCTTAAAGCATCTTTATAGTTTTAATTTTTATACTAAAAAACTGCTTTAAAAAATAGTAAAACATATTTTTAAATGAGAGTTTTTAAAGTCATAAAATTTATCATCTAAGGTAGTGGGTGTCAAAACGGTTTTCGGATCGAGAATGAGTCAAACCCAAAATTAACTTTTCCTAATATGGGTCGGCCCGAACCTGATCTGTTTAGATTCTAAGATCATAGATAAAGGTAACGTAAGTGCCCGCTTGGACGGCTGGAGCGTCTTATAATATTAGTTGTGAAGTTTTTGTAGCATAAGTAATTTTGATTGTAAAAGAAGCCTTTTCATCAATTAAAATTTTAAAAGATAGTCACCAAACAAATCATGGTTGATATTTAAAAAGAAAAACAATGAGAAAGCTACCCAAAATAGACCCTATTAATTTTTTTTAGTTAAGTTCCAAAGCAATGATGAATTTAACATTAGAGAAATTCAATTTTAAGTTCTTGATACTAGCTTTCGAAATTTAAAACAACCAAGGATTTGTTTGGAACGACTTCTACTTTATAGGAAGCTGGTTGTGAAATTATTGTAGAGAAAACAACTTTGATGCTATGATTCCTGAAAGCAACTTGTCACCATAGATTTTTTTGAAAAACGGCGAGAAAACAAGAATAAAATAATAACTAAATGAAATGGTGGTTGCTATCATAAAAACAAACAACTTGGAAAGTTATCCCAAATAGACTTTAAGTGTTAATTAATTTGTTTTACTTGTTTCTATTATATGATATTATATTTTTGTGTAGATTTTAGCTATCTAATTTAATGATATATTGAAATAATAATTTAATTAAAAATTAAATAAATTAACCAAAATGATTATCAATAGTGATATTTTAAAATCATATTATCTTAAATTAGATCGATAAATTTATTTAAAATTTACTTTTCATAAATAAATATTGTCTTAATATAATTAAATTTTTATTATAATGCAGAGTAGTTGGGAAGCATTAATGGAGTTTCCTAA